CAAAAGCTGTCTACGCCAATTTGTACGTCTTCACAGGAACGACTTATACTGCTGTGGGCACTGGTTAAAGAAGAGTGTTTTCTTTTGTTATTCTTGAGGAAAGCAACGAATTTTTCCAAATTCTACTTGCATAGGATTTTCAGCCATAAAATCATAATCATAAAACTTTCTCTGAGTCCCGAAATAATGACGCGTTTTGTTTCGCAAAGCCTACGCGCAATTTATCAGTCAGTTTTCCAGTTGAAGTTCCTTGTTATTGTTTTCTGTTCCGTGAAGCCGTCCTGGTGACTGTCTAATATAAAAAGTCAAATGAATTTATCTCCGTAATAAAACTGCTTATTTGATTTAAGTAGCCATACTGTCTCTGGGTTTGTATCTGTTTAGTCGGAAAGGGTTGGGTTGGGGATTATATTTAGGATTTCCATCGCTCGGAATTGGGTGGACCGCACGACAGCTGCGTCCTATAAATACCACACCTCATCGTCCTTATCTGCTATTGTCCCTGATGATGTGTTTGAGCGAGAATCCGAAGCGTCTGGCCAATAAACTTCATTTCGCATTTTTATTTTACAGTAGTAATTATCACGTACATGCGTCTTTTCTGGTTGCTTATTTTTGACCCATCAACCAGCAGTTCTCTAAACGCCCGACATGGCCATTTATCCACACCTGTTACACATCGGTGCTCAAAGGAACGAAAGCGTGACGATCAGCCCCAGTTATGGGCCTTCTTCCCCTTGCGTTTTGCTTATTTTTTAGAGGTTTCGATATGTGAAAACTACAGAATATACCCTTCCGGGCACTCGATTCAAAGCTGCGAGGTAGCCACTGGAATTTCAAGGATCCTCTGTAACTCAGCGTAGCGCATCGTCGCCAAAAACATCACAGTACTACTACTACTACTACTGAAAAAATGTCTTGTGATACACAGAAAATGAAATGCATTTTGTTAATTCCATTCGAATCGATTACCTATTCACCGGCTTCAAATAATTTGACTAAGCGTATTTCTGCGATGTGTCTGTCAGCAAAATCAACCACATCTCAAACAATAGGAAATCAAAAAAACTGCATCACGTTCTCATGGAGCAGTTTTGGAAGTTCTTAGCAAACATGCTGCATTTACCTATGTGGAGCACTTACCTAAACACTGATTTTTAGAGGGAATGTACACCTCAACTTTATGCAAAGCTACCAGTATAAAGGGTATTATGCGTGTTTCGTTGCCCTTATGCAGTTTTTTCATGCCTACGCTGCATGTACTCCTATAACCCAGACTTCGACAATTAACCAATTTCAGTTTTTTTGGAATTTTCTGTTGTGGTTTTCACTTAAATTAAAGTCTCGAATTTTCCACAATTAGGTCAACTGAATTAAGCGAAGCTGTTTAACCCCCTAACAATTAAGTGAGCCTAGTAGTCATTCTG